AATCTTTAAAAAACTTCTTTTTCACATATAAAATTTCTTTAAAAAAAATTGATTTTTTTTAAAAAAATTTTATATATAAAGAAGAAGTTTTTTAAAAATTTCTCAAAAACTACTTGACCAATTTTAATATTCTTACAGTATTAAATATATTTTAATGAGCTCTACAACTTTTGTTAGAAGCCAAAGAGTAATTTACTTAGTATAAAAAAAAGTTTTAGATAGAAGCACTATGTATTTGCAATTATATAAAATTTATATATAAAAAAAAATTTTTTATCCAGGTGACTGGTAAATTGCCTATTAAAGAAATTTAATTTTTTGAATATATTTAGACATCACATGAAGTACTACAAACATGTTCATCAAAATAATAACCTAACTAAACAGTTGGAGCTTGTAATATATAAGTGCTAGCAACAAGTAAATTGTAGAAATTCTGGTTAGATATTCTACTTGATCTGAAGCCATTTTGAATATGATAAGATAATAATATGAAAATAAAAAATAAATTATAGAAAATTAAAAGAAATAAAATAAATAATAAAAATATATAGAGGTGTGATGACTTAGTGTAGTGGTCTAGTCATTATCCTTTTCAAGTAGCAGGTCTAAAGTTTAAATTCTACTAGCAATGATATTTGAAAAATAGGCTTGCATATAGTTGATGGTTATGTTTATTGGTTGGATCTAGAACTAAATCTGTAATCTTAGTTACATTATCTAGTAATAAAAGCAAATTTGAAGAACTGATATAACTGAAAACCTATTTGGGAAGTCTCAAGCTAGGGGAATAGTGATCTTTAATAGTATTACAAGAAGGCTAAATTTGAACCAGGGTCTAAAATCAGAGAACCAAATAACCAGGTTCTAATAGCAAAGAACACACTAGCTGAACTACCAGGTTCTGTCACACTAGAGGAAAAGGACATACACTTCAAAAGTATGTACCAAGGAGAGAGCATTCTTCAGGCACTTAAAGCCTAGGCAGACCAACTTGCTAGCTGGAAGTAAGAAAAGACTAATAAAGAATTTGGGTAAGAAGATGGTTCAAATACAGGCAGTAATAATGTTATAAGGTCATATGATATCATTATATCATATGACATACTATCATATATTATTTTGTCATATTATTATATGACATAATCATATGACTTACATGACATATAACATATGTCATAAAAAATTATTGTATTAATTGATCACAATTAAAGTTTTTATAAAGTTAATACAGATCTCTCTAGACAATATATTAATAGTGAAATTGGTTTTCAAACTGTCTTAAAATAAAAAAGATTTGTTTTGAGGATGTCTTAAAATTTCTAAATTGTCTAAATTATTATAAATTGTCATATATTAGAAAGTACTACATATGATTGACATAAATGTACTTTGAATTACACTTTGTCTCAAGCTGCAGATTTGCGACATAATTTATTACAGCTGTTTTCATTATTTCTAAGACACTTATAAAAAATTAGCCAAAAAAAATTTTTAGCTGATAATTTTTTTAGCATAATAGCCTATGCGTTGATGATAGTCACACAGGTTATTATCATGAGGATTACTATTTGTGGCTTGTATGGTAAGAGGCTTGTATGAAAAGACAATAGGTATGCATACAATTGTATGCATTAGAGATATGCATGTAATAGAGATTATAGATATGCATGTAGTTACATGTGACAAAAATTATAAAGATACTTGAAGACGTAGATTGTGAATTTTAGTGCTTTCTTACTTCGCTTGTTTTATTTACTTGTTCTCTTCACTGTCTGATTTTTAAATCTGGCTTCTTCTACCTTCTCACCCTTACTCAGTCATTGCACCTAGCACCTATTTTTTGTCATAAGAAAAATAGTTAAACGCACCGCACCATAGTGTGAGCCCGAGCTCATAAAGTAAATATTGTTATATGAAATAAGTTGAATGCACTACACCATAGTGTGGGCTTGATCTCATAAAGTAAAAGTAAATGTTGAGTTGAATACGCCGCACTATAGCATGGACTCAAACTCATAAAATTAGATGAAATATTGCTATGTAATGAGTTGAATGTGTCACACTATTGTATGGGCTCGAACTCACTACTTTATTAATACTTTTGATCCTTGTTTAGACTTCGTTACGTGAATATATACACGTGGACATAAAATTATTACTGAGCATATATGCTATAACAGAAAAGAAAAGTGATGAAGTGGAGCACTACTCCCATCATGTATCTTTGTATAATATCTAATAAAGAGATCTGAGCGAGAATAAATTCAATAAAAATTTATATAATATTGTAATATATATGTAATTTAAAATCAGGTGGTAATATAAATAAAAAATTATGTTAAATTCAAAAAAATGTTTTCAAACCATATTTGCTAGAAATTATTAAAAAAACTTAGAAGGCCTTTCAACTTTAAAAGTTGCAAAACACTTAGATGTTAGCAGGTTTTCTATAAGTCAGGTTCTTGTGCATTTTCAAAAATATGGCTATACTGAAAAACTTCTATCAATTTCAGGAAAACCATGTTCTTTAAACATGAATGATATAAATTATCTTCAAGTTTTAATAAAAGAAAAACCTGACTAGTACTTGTATAAATTACAATCTGAGATGGAACTTTGGTTGGGATGTAATATTAGTCTTACAACAATTTGAACCAAGGTAAGATTTCATATGTTTATATATAATTTTATTTTATAAACTTTTAGCAATTTTATAAAAGGCTCTTTCATATTAATAGCTTCTGATTCAGGCTCTTTTATGTTAATAATAACCAATTTAGGATCTTTTTCACTATTAATTTCTAAATCAGTTGTGTTTATTTCAGACAAGTCAGGTAACTCAAAAGTATTTATTATGGACAATAAAGATTCTTTAATTGTTAGATCTACTGGTTCACTTTAATTGCGTTGATTATAATTTTTACTGTATTTTCGACAAATATTAATTAAATCTTGATCTTTTGGAATTTTGACTTTAGTTGAATTTTTAGTCCAATCGACGAATTCTTGATCATATTTAACTTTTTTAATATTAGCACCTATTCATGTAATATATTTACTATATTTGAAGCTTTTTTTATATTTTTTGCCAAGTTTTATTGGTTGACAAGAACAATCTTTTCCATAAACTTTCGCACAAGTTAAATATACTAAACATATTGGGCAAGTGTTCAAACAAAATTTTAATAATGTTGACATTATTATAATAAAATTATTTGTATATAAAAAATATAATTAAATATAAATATATTAATATTACAGTAAATAAAAATTGAATGAGTTCAAAAATATATTTAATTTATGTAGATATTATATCAATATTACAGTAAATTAAAATTGAACGAATTTAAAAATTACTGGCTGAAATTTTTCTTTGGCTAATTTTTTATAGATATCTCAGGAATAATAAAAACAGCTATAACAAAGGTCTGGACAGTAAGTCTTCTACTCTGCTCCAGATAATAAAGAAATTGATATTAAAAAGAATAAACACAAAGTGTTTGAATATTATTAAAAATCTGATAGTAGTTTAATTTTAAGCTTTAACATGTAAAGAATTAGATATTATATTTGGTGATATATTATATTAAAATTAGTAAATCAATATACATAGTTATAATTCCAGTTCTTATCCCAAATCTGATTTTATTGACTTATGATTTATTATTTCCTTATAGTCTGCCAATTTAGATATCTGCTGCAATATTAATGTTGAATGATTTCTCATATTATTATTTACTTAATCCAATTTAGAGTTTAAAATGAAATGATTAAATATTTTGAATTCATAATATATAAATCAAAAACAAGTGACTTGTTCACATTGAAAACATTTTTAAAATAAAGATAATGAAATTATAATTTGTATAATTTGTTATAAGAATTAATTTTTACTCACTTTAATAATTTTAATACATATTAGTAATTATATTGATTATTGTTATGTGATAAATTAAGTATTTGCTATACTGGCAGAATTCTTAATAGTACAATTTATTTGAATAATTAATTATAGTATCAATAAGGTAATTAAAGATAATATAGTGAAATTTGAAAGAATAATTCAATTATTTGTGCTACTTTTTGATTGTTAGTTTCTTGTACATGTGACTTATATAATTTAATCGAAAGTTAATAACATAGTTTATTTGAATAATTAAATATAGTATTAATGAGGTAATTAATTTAATAATCTAATTTTTTATAAAAAATTGACATGTCAAATGGTACTATTCAAATGATATTCAATATGTTATTCAACTTATAATTTTTGCAGACATGAATGTCTGTGAAGTTATATGATAGTCATGTGATAGTCAAATAGCATACTGAATAGCATATTGAATTGTATCTGAATAATGCCATTTGACACACCAAATTTTTAGTGTAATGAAGTAATTATAAATGAAATTTAAAAGTGATTGAAAAAATAAATTAAATTGTTTGTATCGCTTACCAATACAAATTTAGTTAAATTAATTAATTATAGTATTAATAAGATAAATATGAGATAATAAAAAAAGATAGTAGTAAAATTTGAATGTAATTTGAAAATTATTTGTGCTATTTATTAATTGTTAGTTTTTTGTATATGTGTGATGTAGTTTTCAATACAAATAAATTAATCATAATACAATGAGGTAGTTAATTTATAAAAATAAGATAATAAAAGGTAAGAAGTATTTAGATGAATTTATTTGTTCACTGATATTAAATTTTGAATCTAATATATTAGACTCAAGAATTTAAAAAAGTATAAATATTCTAGTTAAGTTTATTATACCTCTTGTTGACAAATATGCTTAAACCACATAATTTTCGGGAATTTTTTGTATTAGTTGATAATCCAATTAATAAAACAAATACAAAAGCAGTGTATAAGTTTTGTGCACTTAAAAATGGTGGAATTCAAGCAGCAGCATCAAAATCTGAGTGTTTTACAACAAATAAAGGCAATTTGTGTCAATGTTATCTAGCTAAGTGTAAAAACTTTAAAGAAGCATTCAATGAAAATGAAATAGCTAAAATATTAGCATGATCTGTAGCCAAAGATAAGCAAAAAACCTTAAATAAAGGTAAAATGTAAAATGAATTATTTCAATGTATATCAAAAGATGCAATATGAATTGTTAGATTTTTTTATAGCTCTACATATTTTATAGGCATTTTGCAAGAAGAACAAATAAGAATTTATAAAAAAAAAATTTCACTAGTATCTCCTGAAGATACTCACTAGTGCTTTTATTACTTTTGTTTTTATTCAATTATAAAAACTCATGCTACTTTAAAATTTCTTTCACTTAGGTATAATGAACATAGATTAAGTGTATTAAGAATTAATGGTATTCCAACTATACAAGCAAATAAAAGTTTAAAGCATAATAATGGAGATCGAAAATTACCTGATGATATAGCAGATATAATTAATAATTCAGAATTCTGGAAAGTTTTATCATTATTACAATATTTGCTATATCCTTTATGTGAATTTTTTAATAAATTAATATTGTTTGCTTATACAGTAAAAATTTTTTCAAACTATCCAAATCAAGATTTTGCTAAAAAAATAATTAATCAAGTAGAACATCGTTGGAAATATTGGGAACAGCTATTGTTATTATTGTCTATTGTTCTTTATCCGATATACAAACTTTCTAAGTTTAATAATACAGTTATGAATCTTACTTGAACACATATTGAACAATAGTTAAAGTATTATTTTCATGCATTCTTTAATTTGCCATCACGATCAATTCTTAGTGAAATAATTAAGTATAAATGTGAAGAAGATCCTTATAATAATGCATCATTTCAGCAATTACAAGAAAATTTATTTAACTTTGGAAATCTACAGCAGGTATTGGTCTCGAATTGGCTAAATTAGCAATACATATTCATGAAATATGCATTAATTCTGCATCAGTTGAAAGGCTTTGGTCTTCTATGGGTTTTTTGCATACAACTAAATGAAATAAACTATCAGTATAAATTTATTTATATTACAATATTAAAAAGTTATTAAATCTATTATTATTAATATATTTTTTTTATTAGCCTAAAAAAGTGTTGGCAATGAGCCAAATATGTAGCAATATTTTGTTTAATTATAATAATTCAAAAGCAAATAACCAACAAATATCAAAATTTCATATTGCAACACCTATTTCTGATTTTGAAGAAAATGAATTAGAACTGAATAAGAATATTAATGAATTTGAGGAAGATGAAAATATAAATATTCAAGTTTTAAAAAATAGTATTGTTATAGAACGAATTAATTATTAGTTTATTATTTTATTATTTATTATTTATTAATTATTATCTTAGAATATTA